GTCCTTAGGGGCTTGGGCGGGTGGAGAGAAACAAAAGTAAATAACAAAGCACTATTGTAACTCAGCAGACTACGGAAAAGTAAGTGATGAGGACTCTTAGAAGGGAAATTTCTGCCTTCAAGTAGCTAAATCTTTTAAAAAGTCTGTGATATCTAGTTTCCAGTTATTGAAAACCTCTTCTCTAACCCTTTAATGATTCCTTCTAAGTATCACAGAAATTAGAGTTAAAAGGTAGACTGAGAAAAGATTTATTAGGTAATCTCCAATCTCATGTCAAGTGCATAATTGTTACCTGCAGTGCATTTTCTACTCTGGTGTGCTTTTACTGTGTTCTTGCCACTTCCTTTGGGAGACTACTTCATAATCCAATAGATCTCACTGGAAGGAGGAAACTTGATTTCCATCCTAATGTTCCTTTCCCACTGTGTACTTTCTATAGCACTAACCATTTACACTTAGTAACCTTCCTCACCTCCCACTCCATCCCCACTCACTTACTTCTACTTTGTAATCACTAGGCATCTGGAACCTCTTTTCTGGAATATCTAGTAGACTCATCATTCTTCTGGACATGTTGCATCTATCAGGCTAAAGGATTTTAAGGTGATAGAAGGATAAAGGGTCTTCATAATTTTATGTTTCTAATGATAAAATTTCTCATTCCAATAAGGTCCTTTCCATTCTCTAGAGATCTGGGGTAGAGACAGTAATAAGGACTATGAACCTTTTAAGAAAGGAGCAAAACCATGCATAATTTATGATTCAATGTCTCTATAATATGTGCTCCCCAATTACTAAAAAGATAAGTTGGAGTGTCCTATGTAAATAATATGAAATCCAACTGAGAGTTGTTCCCAGAAGAATTTTGGCTTCACCAGACTTACCCTCACAGATCTTATAACCTGAGCATCTCTGTAGAGGGTCCCAGAGGATGCCAGCCCATGCAGTGGTTTGTGTTACAAAATAGAAACACTGAGCTTAGAAATCTACCTTTTTTATATCAAGTCTAAGCAAGCCTGCTCTTTGTCCCACAAGGAAACATCAAGATTGCCTGCTGCAAACAAAACCTGAGAAAGGCCCTATAAAAAGAGCTGTCAGAGCCTCACTTCTAAGTTCAGAAACATGCACATCCTACTTCCTCTAAAATATTTTGACAAGATGCTATAGAAACCTTAAGTTCAATATTTCCTAAACTGAACACACAGTCTTCTCCCTGACTATCTTCTTTCTCTATTTTCCTATTCACTGAGGCACCTACTCATTCTCAATATTTTCATTATCCACCAGGTCACTAGATTTTTTTTTTTTAGTTCCACCTCTTAAATGCTGTTGGCACTCTGCATACCATTGTTTTTGGTTTTGACTGTAATCATCAAAAAGCAAAAGTGGATACACTTTTGCAGTAGGCTGACTCCAGTTTCATTTGCCTCTAAACCAATGTTCTAAAATGCAGAGCTCAAAAGTCTTCACTTGTTAAGCCTTCCAGATAAAATCTACACTTCTTACCATGATCTACCTACTTTTCTAGCTTCATCTACTCATATTTCTTTCTTTTAGACCTTTTATAAGAATTGCTTGCTGGTCCCTGGGTAAGCTTGCACTTCTGATCACTTTGAATGCCGTATCCTTAAAAACTTAGAATTCTTTGGCATATAGTAGGCATGTGATGTATGTATTTAGCATAAATATTTACTCGGTGGCTGAAAGTGAAAACAGGCTTAGCTTAAATGCAACAAGGAATTGGTTTGGGAATTACTCAATTCCACATTCTTTCTGTGTATTCCCTTCACCTTAAACAATCATGATGATGGAACTCTTTTGACAAATGTGATAATTTAGATATCTAGACAATAAATAAAAACAGAGAGGGTACAGCTGTTGCTTATATCCACTTTGTAGTCTACCCCAAACTTGTAGATTATCAATAATTGTCATTTTCTTATTCAACTGAACAATACCAACATAAATACAGACAAATCAAATTACCCTGTTTTTCTAAGGAATCCATGATTAGTGAGTCATTAAAACTCCCCTTTTTGAATAGTTGGAAAAGGTAAAACCACAACATATAATGTGGCTGTCTAAAATCGCTATCATGTCTTCTATCCCTTGAAACACAACTATATTAACTTTAACTGTTCTCTTTGGCAAAATGGATGACATAAGCATTCACCCATCTAATTAGCTCTGTGACTTTGTCAGCAGGAGCCTGAGCTTGTACCAGGCCCAAGGCAGGCTTAGGATCCAGAGCTTAGTCAGTAGTGACTCTTTTGACTGGTGATAAGTTGGTCCACCTCACTCAGTGCTATAGACTATTTAATAGGCTTGGACACACCCTCGACTCTAATGAAAATGATGTTTTCCCTTGGAGATTCTTGAGGCCAGTTTATTATAAGATGTGAGCATTCCTTGGAGCCTGCCTGATCAGCTTCAATGATCCTATACCACTTCTAGCATAGTTCTTCTCCCTCTAGAGTGAGAAAAACAGCTCTGTCTCCAACCTGGAGAAAACTCAGAGATGTCCCCCAAAACTGGAGTGTCTGCAAAGCTTCTGGTCTCCGTTGAACCCAGGCCTGCGGGACTATTGTGGGAGCCATGCGGAGATGTGTCCACTCCAGTCACTGGCCATGACTGCGTAAGAGCACACCATTTGTAGTCAGCAGAGCACAAACTCCAGCATCCAGTCTCAAGAAATACTTCCACAGAGTGGTGATCCTAAAACTCTTATCTTTCCATACTCATTTTCCCAACCCTATCTGGCTCCTAGTAGACATTGTTGATTCAGCAGCATTTCTTTGAGCCTTACTCATGAGTCCCCCTTTCTATGTGATTCCACTTTTGGACCTGGGGAGAGAATAGCATTCTCAGGTGGTCTGTCTTTTCTGCCCTTGCCTTTCTCTACTGGCTCCTGACATCTGCCTATCCTCTACAGTCCATTTCCCTCAGTGAACCCGTATCTTCAACTGAGTGATGGCCCCAGGACACCACTCAGTCTTGGCAATTAATGTGGGCCGGTTATATGCTAAACTCATTCTGAATAATTTCATTTGGCCCCAATTACCATCCAGGCTGTGAACAGATCACCCTCTATTGGAGATATTATTTCCACTCAGCTCCAGGGTTCATTTTTTGTATTTTTTTAATGATGCAATCATTATCCTAGTTAATGTTCTTCTATCCTCTTTCTTCCTACACCTCCCTTGGGAGATCTTTACAGAGCCTCAGCCTGCATCTTCTCAGCAGTCTTCACTTCCCAGGCACAGAAGTCCAGTGCCATGTCCCAGTGGGACCTATTTGTCCTTAGGGCATATCACTAATAGAACTCAGCAGGCCCATTGACCCCACTACCCCAGAAAGATGATGTGTACACATGCAGACCTACTCTGCTTCAGTCGAGACAGTCTAATCAGAAAGTACCAAATGTTATTTTATTATAGAAGGAACTTCTATTTCCTTTCCTGTAATTTCTCTTTATAAATGTTCTAATCTCATCTACATAAGCCTTTTGATTTGTTCTCTTTTAAAATTCTTCATTGTGTCTCAATTGAGGCTGACTCCCAAGATCCTTTGTCTGATTTGTAAGAGCATCTTTCATCTCTAGTAACCTTTGATGATACTAGCTGGCTCCAGGCTTAGCTTAAACCACTCCCCAAACTCTTCCTGACTCCTGTCCTTATTGGAATGTTCCTACCATGAGCCTGAGGCCTGTTATACCCTCTAGCCAACCAAGTTCTTCCCTGTGATGTATCATCACATCACTGTGATTTTCTCAATTCTTTACTTTGCCCTTTTCATTTCTCTTTCAGTCTTGATCACTTGGTCTTCAGCAAGTAAATGTGACCTTAAGAGGAGCCTCTAAAATGCTCATCAGATATTAGCAACTGCAGTTTCTCAGTAGAGCCTTCTTTCCTGGCAATTTCTCATTAACCCTGCATTAAAAGTAGTAGCTCATAAGTTAAATTAAGCTCATAGATCTGTTTTGATTGGGATGTGCTGACTTTATTTTTCTTATTTGAATGCCTTCAGGTGTGGCTTTCACTTTTGCAGGTGCAGCATGCTCCCAATACTTCCTATATTCTCGGATCTGACCAGTTTTGTTAATAGGTACTGAGTAGCTATATATCTCTCCTATAACCACTTCCAGTCCTGGGAACACCTGTCAATCCATTTGTTCAAACCTTCTGAATTCTTCTTCATCCATTCGGCTCTCCCTACCTGTTCTCTATCATTCCTGCAGATTCCCTGCTACCACTAAATATACGAGTCCTTCTTTGGAACCATCTTTCAGTGAGCAACTTTCCTCCAATTAAGACTCAGTGATTCTACTATCGCATGTATGCAGGTCATATATGCAGATCATTAAACTGACTTTCCATTAAATCACTCTCCATTTTGAGTCCTAATATCAAAAGTCTAGGAGGGTATGAGTTAAATCTTCATCTCTGTTTAAAGATCACAGAAAGAACTAAAAATAGTCCAGCCTCAATGTTTCATGTGTTATTGGCTTGTTGTACAACTCTTCATTTTTAGTTTTCAAACTTAAAAACACTTCTAACAATTCTATCTTAGTTCTCCAATAGGCCCTGTCTTTCCACACACTCACACACATTATTAGCATGGTATTATGAGGCAATACCCTGTATGCTTTCCCAAAGATTTTTCATATTTGAAATAAAACACATTAAAGTAGCTATAGTCAAATAGAGCTTTAATGAACAGAGTTTAATCAAAATATGGACAAAAATCTAAGATAATTTGTGCCAAATTTGCCACTTACACAGATAATTACATGGCATGCTGGGAACAGTATCTAGGAGCCTAACTTTACAGAGTTACTTTTCTGCTATTGGGCAAATAGATCAATTGTATAAAAGATTTGATCTTTAGTTATAAATAGAAGTGATGACCTCATTTACAGAGTTTAAGAGATCTGGTGTTTTTATTGACATGCACAGAATCTACATAAACCCATGAATGGTTGTTGGTTTTTAACTTTATAGGAAATCAATGTGTTGACAGTTGCATTGGTCAACCAAGACCGAGAGAACAATATTGAGAAAAGAAGCCAAGGCTTAAAATCAGAGAAAGAAGCTCTGCTAATAGGTAAGGAAATTCTGTTGTCTTCATCTGTTCTCTTAAATAATTATTAGGTAATTAGCTTAATATTTTAGTAATTCACCTCCAACTTGTTAAACAGCATTGCCTTCTGGTCAAAGGTGAGATTAATTTCATCAGACTATATTACGTACATTTCAAATTAGTAACATACAAACTAATGGGGGTATTGCTTTTCTGTAACTGTATATGTTAACTGTCAGACATAAAACTGAGTTCAAGAAGACATTAACTTGCATCTCACATGTCACAAATCTGAATTTCTAAGTTTGGGCATGTCACTTCTAACTAGAAGCCAGGTTGCATCTAGTTCCAAACCAAGCCACATCTCCAGGCTCAAGAGCAGCATTGAACCCTGAGATTAAACTCCAAGCCCCTTAGCAGAGGCCATATTCTAAACTCAGCCCCAAGGCTAGACCTGCAATCCTGGGAAATAGAGGCAGGCAGGGTACTAGTGCTAGGCTAATCCAGGATAGTCAGCTCCAGGCTTCTCTGCCCAAGTTTGGATCCTTTTGTCCAGGATGAACAAAAGAAGCATCCTCAGTGGATCCAGATATCATACTTATTTTCACAAAGAAGAGTTCTTGAGGATGTGCTAGCAGTGTGCCTGGAAGCCCATCTTAGACACCTATATGTTTAAGGCTGTCTTTGAAGCCCTCAAATTCAGAGGAAGGGAGGCCACCACCCCCATACTGTGATGCACAGCACTGATTCAAGCTGCACCTTGGCACCGGACCCCAGTGTGGGGTTGCAAGTTAAGACTGGCTTCTTGGTGGCATGGTTAAGAGTGAAGAATGAGGTGACTATATATGCAAGACAAATTGTTATCCTACAGTTCATTATCTGGCAGAAGTAGTTGCATTTTCTTTTCTTTTTTTTTCTTTTTTTTTTTTTTTGAGACAGGGTCTCACTCTGTCACACAGGCTGGTGTGCAGTGGCATGATCTCGGCTCACTGCAACCTCTGCCTCCTGGGTTCAAGTAATTCTCCTGCCTCAGTCTCCCTAGAAGCTGGAATTACAGGTGTGCACCACCACACTCAACTAATTTTGTATTTTTAGTAGAGAGAGGGTTTCACCATGTTGGCCAGGCTGGTCTCGAACTCATGACCTCAGGTGATCTAAAGTGCTGGGAATTACATGCATGAACCACCGCGGCTTCCCAAAGTGCTGGGATTACATGCATGAACCACCATGCCCAGCCCTGGTTGCATTTTCTGAATACTGCATGTGCTCAGCTAAAAATGACAGGTACACCAAGGCCTAGAGAAGCTGGCACATGAGGAATTAAATTCAAAAGATAGTCCAGAGTCCATCCATCATATATAGATTTTTCAACTACAGGGTTATTGAATATGACATCAACTTAGAGATACTCCAAGGAAAACCAATTATTATTTTTTTTTGCTCTGATGATATACAGCTGTAATAACATGCCATGCACGAGTCTCGGAAGACATGCTGATATGCTATCAGTTCCAGGAACCCAATATGAACCATATGTAGTGGGTAACTGGATTTTTCTTCTATTGGCAAACGTGTCCAACTCTGACAACTGTTTCTCTGTCACTCAGTGTGACCAAAGTGTGATTTTCCCTCTAATGCTTTTAGGGTATGAACAAAGCAAATAATGATCTGTAGCCAACTTTTCCCTCTTTGTTTAAGAATAATTCTGTCCATTTGAAGGTTAAAAACGATCTTTATTTTCTTTATTTTTTTCCTTTTACTAACGATTGCTTCCCCTTTTATTTTATGTTTTAATTGGAGAGCACAGTTCATTTACAATGTTTTCCAAGTAGCTATTAGGTTTTATTTATATATGTACACACATATATGTACATTTTTAGTCAGCTACTTCAAATATTTTTAAATAATATGGTTTACATGCAGTACATTAATGGGAATAGGTAGGAAGATTACATTTATAACATGCTATGCCTGCTGATGTCTTTGGCATCACAAAAAAATTATAAAATCAATTCAAGTGTGTTAGAAAGAAAAATACTAGTCAGGATCTTCAATAAAAAGCATACACAACTGACTCTAAATTTTCTAAGACTTTTCCCCTCACTGTTGGTCTTTTGAACTAGTTTTATATTCGAATTTGAAGTTAGGAGTAGGGCAAAAGAGAAACAGGGGGTGACACTTGCTTTGAATCAATATATGAGAATATTTAGGTATAAGGGAGGCCAGAGACTTCAGTGTTTGATTAAAATAAACAGGAATTTAACTTTCCCTTCAGTTATCCATTATCTTGCTCCCTTTCTCCATATTTTATTCTTCTTAATGATATTTTGACAACAGATGTCATTTCTGGCCAAACCCACATCCAAAACACCTATATATTTCTACTCTTTTGTAACCAAAGAGAGAATAATCCTCCAAAAGAATGCCACAAGGGGGAACAGTTTCCAAGACCAGCAAAATGGATCCTGCCAAAGGCTGCAGTTGCTTCCTGCCACTAAATGATCCAATCTGCTAATTGAGTTGGGTCATTCATACTTTGTAGATACCTGAATGTTGGGTCCATAAAGATCTCCCCTGAAGCTTCTGGCATCTGGATATAGATTATAATGGGGACAAAACTGCTCTAGACCAGAATAAAGAGAAAAAGGATTTCCTGGTGCTGGGGCTACATTTCTCTGAAGAATTCTCATATGTTGAATGATTTTAGGAGCCCTCTGGCCTTCTGGTACATCTGGAGCAGTCATAAATACTCTGCAATTCCCCTGAAATCTTCCCTTGGAATAATTAAATCAGTAGAGAGGACACAATAGCCATGCTCTAAGCCAGCCTAGAAGGAGAAAATCTCCCACAACTTGGAAATATTAGTTGGCAAAATCTTCATCACATCTGCATGCTTATAGTGTATGCTGTATGCCAATACAGTCATATGATCAATGCCCTTTTGGGGCACATATATTATATAAGAAATGCACACTGGCACAAAGCATTCCCTGGAAGAGAAAGGGAGTGAGGAAAAAACCTCTTCAAATGGATTCCATCTACAGAGAGAAAAAAAACTGAGGCCGGAACTTTTAAACAGTGAACAATTCTAGTTATGTGTAATTATTTGTGACACTGATTCACCTGGGCAAAAGTGTATATTCTGTCCAGACATTCTCATGACCACTTTATAAAACTAGAATCTTTATTTCAGGGCATATAAGTTGGTACTTATTAGAGAGGATCCATGGGATTTTATTGACATGGAATTTTACAGATATGGATCCTGAGTATTTTGAGAGTTCGACCGTTCTGACAAACTTTTTCTTGATAATTAATGGGTCTTCCAATTCAACTAAAGAAGACAGGCCCCTAGAAAATACTCTATTATTGTGATTTCTGGGTTATTTTGTAATCAATTTTTGTAAAGACAAGCTGACATATAATTGGACCTTAGAGAATTCTGTTTTTATGGGGGCATTTTATGTTTCATAATGCTATAGTAACCAAACATAAGGTCAGCTTGACATTGCGCAGTGTCTATGCCAGAACTCCTAGTTCATTTCGCGTATGGCCCACATGTTGGATTGGCATACACTGAAGTTGTTTGGGGTAGAGTGAGTCATTACTTTTGATTTGGGGCCAAAGTTTTGGAGCTATGTTTGGCTGGAGATCGTTGTGAAGGAAAAATGGATCAAATTTTTCTATTAATAAGCTAATAGTTCTAGTAACTCTGGGTCCATATCACTCTATCTTCTCTTGCTATAATAATATTAACACAATAGATTTCAATCCCAGCAGCTCTGATTGGCACCCTGTTGATGCTAGTCATTGTAAATACTATCCAGATGTAGTCAAAAACTTCTCCACAACTTTTAACTATTTGCAAAGCAGCTTTTCTCTAAAACCTCCCTGGTCCCCTGAGAACTATCCTCAGGTTGACAATGATTAGGCAAACTTCATTACATATCCTGAGTCCTCTTGCACATCAGGACATACATATCATTTCCATCACAGTCTCCATCTCACAGGTGCACACAACCAGACTATACTGGAAGTGGAATGTTCCTCTTAACATGAGTATTAAGAAACACCTGAGTGTAATATGGAAAAATGTTTTTAAAGAGGATTAAGCAATAACTTTTTGATGATTTCGGTGAATAAAGTTGAGGCCATATTTAGGCTGTACCTGAGAAAGTAATCTTGGGAATATGTTCTTCTCTGAAAGCTACTGACCATAAAGAATGAGTCATGGACCTCAATCTTGTTTCCAAGGCACAAATGTCCATATCAATAAATCAACAAACATTTGTCAAGAGTCTAAACTAAGAATAATCAGTCTTCATTGTGGAAAAGAATTATCTAGGCAGCCTATTTAAAAGGCAGAATCTTTAGCCCCACACACAGGTGTGGTGGCTCACACCTATAATCCTAGCACCTTGGGAGGCTGAGGCAGGAGGATCACTTAAGCTCAGGAGTTCGAGACCAGCCTAAGCAATATAGCAAGACTCCCATCTCTACCAAAAAAAAAAAAAAATCAAAAAGTTAGCTGAGCATGGTGGCATGCACCTGTAGTCCCACCTACTTGGGGGGCTGAGGTGGAAGGATCTCTTAAACCCACGAGCCTGCGGCTACACTGAGCTGTGAGCAGCACCACTGCACAACTGCATGGGTGATAGAGTGAGACCCTGTCAAAAAACAAAAAAAAAAAATAGAGAGATCCTGTTCATTGTAATACTAACATCTGAGGGGATACTAAAGCAAGCACATCTGGTACCATGTTTTGAGAAACAATGGCCTGCTTTGTGCTAACCCATGTGTTAGCTGATGGTAGAAAAATGATCTCCCCTCAAGAAGTTCGTAGATAGAATGCAGTTAATTACAATGACCTGTGGTTTATACTAAAATTAGAGACACAGACAAGGGGCTACTTATGCTACAGATGTCTTGGCAGAAGTAAGGACAGCTGAGCTAGTCCTAAAGGATGAAAATGTTTTCACTGGATGGATAAAGAAGTTGTTAAGGGCATTTCAGGTACCAGAAAC